TAATGTATGCTATACGAAGTTATTACGAGGGTTGGTTAATGACGTCATTGCAACCTCTCCACCAATGAAAGACTTGCATTTATAGTAAAATAGTGATTGATCAACCCTGGGTCGTTCAAATCCTGTATAATCGAAAACGCTATAAGTATGAATGTATTGTGTATGCGTATGTGTGGTGCGTGTATATATTCGCATATTATTGTATAGCGCCTCTCTGATATTATCTTGGAACTAATCTTCTGTTATTTTTTCATCTGTTATACCGATATTGGACGCACACGTATGTAAAAATAGTCGGACAAGAATATTTTTTACATTAGACTTTTCAGCCCAATTTTAATGGTTCCATAACATTCTATTCTGCAGTCCGCAATTCGGGCTGCTCTTATTCAGCGTCTTAAAACTGTTAAACTTTTATAAAAAACGAAAATAGATAGCTCTATACAATATGTTATCCTAAGAGCAGAACAGAAATTAATGAATAGAAACAAATTTTGTTATTAATTCTTTTTTTTCCAAATAAAGTCGAGCAGCCCGAATTCCGTTTTTGTGTACACTTTACTCCTGCAAAAGGATTTACAATTCTATGCAACCAATAAAAAGATATTCTTGTTCGAAAAAATATAATGTCCGGCCGGTAACTCCAGCATCCCCATAAAATTATAATCAATTATAAAACGATTTATTTCATAAAATATACAAAGTATTTTACTTAAGATAACTCGGGATTAATAACAACTTTATAAAAATATTATAAATACTATTATACTAGCAAACATTTTTTTGCTTTATATCTGATATTATTTATTATCATCAATCATAAAGTATACAATACAGAAATAATAGAAAAATAGAGATTATATGCATATAAAATGTAATTTTTATTTAGTACAATATCTTATATCTTAAAATTCAGAAAGTATGATTCATTTTGTATTCAATCTTTGTAAAATATTTTTTTCCATAAGAATTTATGCATTCTTCATAGAGCCTTTCACAATTTTAACGTCATCTACCGGTCGATCATTTTTATCCGTTTCAACTAGACCAATTCTCTTCACTATTGTCATGCCAGAATGAACTCTACCTGTTAAATAAATACAAAAGTATTTTTAAATAGTTACATACTTGCCAAAGTTATGATGAATATAACATAAAGATATACAATTAATTTGTTAGAACTTACCAAATATAGTATGTTTACCATCAAGCCACTGAGTAGGTGCAAGCGTTACAAAAAATTGTGACCCATTTGAATCTGGTCCAGAATTTGCCATTGATAATATTCCAGCACCTACATATATTTCAATATCATGATATTATTATTATTATCCCAGTCAAATGTTGGCTGTTGGCAGATTAAGAACAAATTTTAAATTTGCTCAAATTTGCTGTCAATTTACCAACATTGCAAACATTTAATTTATTGGCATAATATCTTATACTATTCTTTTGCACTATGCATTGAAACAATACTATTTTTATGACAAATGCTCATTAGTACAAAATGATTTAAATGACCTGTGTGTTTTAAATCATCATGGATTTCATCATCAAAAGCTTCTCCATATATTGACATTCCACCTTTTCCTGTTCCAGTAGGATCTCCACCTAAATGAGACAATTATGATAAAATATTATGTTGTTGAATAATGTGTGCATACTGTTGTACATTTCTATTGCATTACCTTGAATCATAAAGTCACGGATGATCCTGTGAAACTTTGTACCATTATAATATCCACGCCGCGTGAGCTCAGCAAAGTTTCTGCATGTAATAGGAGCGTGTTTCCAGTATAATTCAAAGGTTATTTCGCCCATTCTAAAAATTATAATTGAAAATATTTAACAATGACAATTATTTAGGTCTTAAAAGATGCAAAATACTTACGTGGTTTCAAAAGCAACAAAAGGTGGTTGCCAATGTTTATCTGGAATGCCAGATATACTTGGAAGACACATTATAACTTATATTTTACGTGTCTTTTTATTCTAATTAAATAAAAAATTGCCAGAAATGATCACACTTATTCTTACTCTTTTATATTAGAACTTTCATACAAAATAGTAATTATTTAACTTGCTGCACAACGTTAGGAAACAACACAATGGTACACATATAGAGCCTTTATAGAGCACAAAGATGCCATCTGTAGGTTCTGTTCTCTGCAGCTGTACCTCCTGCACTTCTTCTTTTTCCTCTTGCTCTCATCAACGCGTAATCAATATATCTGTTTCATTTTGAGTATAAAAAGTGTAACACGGTTCAGCTCCGAAGAACAGACCTTTTAACTGTTCATGTCAGGGTAGACGTTAACAAAGCAATAATAAATGAATTTAATGAAAATGTAAAAACATGTTAAATATATTTGCATAAATCGTATAAATGAGGACCTTCGATTGTTGGATTGATTCGTCGCAGTGTCATACTTTAAGTGTCCTGACAGAACGACTAGTTTCCGCACGTGCCGGAACAAGTTAACCTACAGTTTTCGAAAATATGTTTTCGCACAGAGACTCGGGTAAATCGGATTACATTAGCTTAAATATTCATGATAGTGCATCGTTTACACGAGGCACTTCACGCAGTTTATGGAGGGTACGTATATCCAAATACAAAATATTACAATTGTGTTTGTACTTTTAGTCTACATGAGTAATTTAGAATGTCGCAATTATTTATACGTCATTCAGCTATTCAGCTATTCATCTCTTTTTCAGCAATGGAATCAGTTGTCTAGGTTTCAAAGAAATATGCTATACTTTGCAATTATCACAATTCTACTTGTAATATTTTATCTCCTGCCTAGTGAAACCAAAGCTGGTACCTCTGACAATGAGGTTGATTATAGTAATGTAGAAATTGTACAGGATACGGGAAAGTATGAGAAGGTACGCAACATCGAGACAGGTTTTAAGTTTGTATTCAAAAACTATCAAATTTCCTTTTTGTTCTGTAGGCAATCGAGGAAGTTGTTGTAGATAATGATGAACAGGGTGCTGGACCTGGTGAAGTAATCGAGGAGCCAGAATTTCAACCAGAGATTAATCAAGTTGATGATGATCAAATTGGTGAACCACCACAGCCAAAACCAAACATTCTTAAATTTAATGGTAGACTTGATTTGTTTATGAAGCAATCACATTACAAATTTAATAAATATAAGTAGATTTGGTTGCAAGAGTGGAAATAGGTTGTAATGCTTTGGATTTTTAGGTCCACAAAATAGTAGACAACAAGCTGTTGTAGCTGCATTTAAACACTCCTGGGATGGCTATAAGAAATATGCTTGGGGTCATGATAATGTTAAACCAATATCGAGGAGATATCATGAATGGTTTGGTTTAGGTCTTACAATAGTTGATTCGTTGGATACTATGTATATAATGGGGTTAAACGATGGTGTGTATAAATATTGAATTTTTAAATAGCTCCTTTGTTGATAGCAAAATAATTTTCTTTAATTATGTTATAGAATTTTCAAAGGCAAAGAAATGGGTGCAAGATAGTCTAGTGTTTACAATGAATAGAGATGTTAATTTATTTGAAGTTACAATTAGAGTATTAGGTGGTTTACTGGCGGCGTATCATCTTTCCGGTGATATACTCTTTTTAAATAAGGCTGTAAGTAGCAGATTGAAAATAATTTTAATTGATTCTGTAAGAATCTTGATGTAGGAAATAATTTAATGGCATGATTTAAGATGGATTTAGGTGATCGCATGATGCCAGCATTTTCTACCAGATCTGGTGTTCCATATTCCGATGTGAATCTCGGCACTAGAAGTGCACACAGTCCTAAGTGGGGTCCTGATAGTAGTACGAGTGAAGTTACTTCCATTCAGTTGGAATTTCGTGATCTTAGTCGTAGCACAGGGCAATCTAAGTTTGAGGTAATTTCAGGATTGGTACGATTGTCAAAGCAGTTTACAATATATATCTAATTTGATATATTTTTAGACTGCAGCTGCAAAAGTTTCCGAACATGTACATAAGTTAGAAAAATATGATGGTTTAGTCCCCATCTTTATTAATGCTAATACAGGCCAGTTTCGAGAATACGCAACGATCACATTAGGAGCTCGAGGCGATAGTTATTACGAATACTTATTGAAACAATGGTTGCAAACTGGAAAAACCATAGACTAGTTAGTATATCATATAAGAAACTATAATTAGTCAATGTAAACTTCATTCATTTTATATCGTTAATTCTTTTAGTTTGCGAGACGATTATTTGCTAGGCATTGCTGGAACACAAAAGCATCTCGTTAAATATACAGCAGTTAATAAATATTTGTTCATTGCTGAGTTGGTCGGCGCCAACAAGGAAATAAAGCCAAAAATGGTAAATAGCTTTGAAAGAAATAATCTACATAAAATTGTGCAAAGTTGCAAATGTGCGAATTTGTATTTTAGGACCATCTCACATGCTATTTAGGAGGCACTTTAGCATTAGGCGCGCGTCATGGATTAACGCCAGAGCATAATACTTTTGCGGAAGAAATAGTTAAAACTTGTTATCAAACGTACGCAATCCAACCGACGTTCCTTGCACCTGAGATTACCTATTTTAATATACAAGTGAGTTTAAAAGATTAATACACCAATTTTGAGCGATAAGAGAAAATAGAAAGCATAGAAAGTTTGATTTTACATCAAGGAAAAAAGTTATGAATTTTACAATTCTGCAGAAAATGGAAGGGGAAAATCAAATGGATATGTATGTTAAAACAAACGATGCCCATAATTTACTGAGGCCCGAATTCATCGAGAGTCTATTTTATATGTGGTATTTTACGGGAAATAAGACGTATCAAGACTGGGGTTGGCACATATTTCAGGTGAGTGTTATCTCTCCCTGAAATATCATTACACATCTGTAATGTAAAACGTGTTCCAACAGGCATTCGAGAATTATACCAAAGTCGAAGATGGCTATACAAGTATTGGTAACGTGCGAAATATTCAGCACACCCGTCAGCAAGATATGACGGAAAGCTTTTGGTTCGCTGAAACTTTAAAGTATTTATATTTGTTATTTGATGACACTAGACAATTAATAGATTTGGATAGGTGGGTATTCAATTCAGAGGGTCATCCGTTACCCATATATGAATCGTAACGCAATAGAAACAAAACTACGCACGTGAGTTGACTTTTTGCACATATATTATAAAATTTTACTTTAAATGATACAATTTCCGATCATAATGTTGTTATGACAAAATGAAGTCACATAATATTTCTTAAACTTCTTGAGCTCTCGCGACGTAATGTAGTTCCTCATTCAGGTGCAGGATTTTTTTTCAAAAGATCATTTATCATAGCGCAGTGTAATAAATCATAATATATTTAAAATACTGTATATTACGACCAGAAAATACACAAAGTTACAGATAATTTGAAATCCATGTGATAAACCACGATTTTCAGAGCATTTATGAATACTTAATATATTAGGTATATTTAACCACATGATACTTTGCATTGCAAGTATTCATTTAAAAAGAGATTATAGATTGGAAACTATAAATCTTTCTCAATTTATTACTGGCGATTTCAAATAATTAACTAATGTGCAACATTAGCTGCACCTACCAAATGCCTAAATCTAATTCAATGATAGATGCTATTAGACTTTTAGATTTGCAGCATTCGCAAAAATACACAACTTACTTATTTACTTTTATTGATATCTTCTCAATAATCAAATTAGTCAGAATTTTAGCATATATTGTACTTACCTATATATGTTTTTCGGAACTTTAAATTTTAGTTTCGTACAACATTATTCTTAAAAAAATATATCGACGATAGATTTAAAAAATATACATTATTATTTAGCATCGTTTTTGCATTAAAAATCCGTACGTCGTAATATTACAATAAAAATAATCTAGTCTTCATCTATAAATATAAATCGTACCATATATTTGCAAGCTCTGATTACTATAAATATTTACATAAATAATCAAATGTATGTAAAGTTACATAAATAATAATTTATGTAAATATTTATATAAAATATTGGAACACATCTATGCGATTCCTGCGTGCCATGAAGCGACGCGATGGTGATTAAATGCTCATATTCTCGATGAAAGCTTCTTGTCTTCATCATTACGGAAAAGAATAGAAAGCAGGTAGATTAAATGAATATAACAACAATTGTAAAATAAAGTCTGATTTAATCATCAGCTGCGCTATAGAAATACGCTCTACTTGTAGTTACTGACGCATTAAAGAAAAGCGATTGTTCTCGGGTTATTCTTCTCTCGGATTTGTAATAAATACATCCTTATACAGATATCGAAAATGCTGTTCGATATTATTTGTCTTATTTTTGTTTCCAAATGGAAGATCTATACACGATTCCTACATGCTACTGATTTCTTAACTCGTAAATTTACAAATTAATGAACAGACACGATGCCTGATATGTTCCAAACGATTGTCACAATTAATACTGTCAAATGCGTGTCGTCGATGTTAACATTAATGCCACGGAAGACACATACAATGTATAATATAACCTGTTCTATAACATATGTGAGGGAATGCTTATAGACTATTTAAATTGACTTTTGCAATGTCTCTTGACGCAATTTTTATCACGTCATGGCAGTGCTGCAACTTTCTTCTCTCTGAAGTACATTTTCTAAAAATATAAGTTAATTATTTACGCGTATGCTTCTCAAATCGCTTTTAATCGAATAGTCGGATGCTCGATGAAATATCATGCGATAACATCAAATACTTATGTGTAATTATGAGCATTGCACGTTCATTTATACACACATTTACAAAATTTTCTATACGTCGCGATAGGATTTTCTTATACTTCTTGTATATCACAAAGTATCCTAATGGCGCGCAATACTTATTGTAATATCAAATCCTAAATTTTGCGCCGAAAAAAAAGCGCTTCAGGAACCCCGAAACTGATATAATGAGTCGCGAGGGCACCGGCTTTTTTTTAACATTATTTAACTAGGATTTTTTTGTTCAGACTATTGTGCAATCGCAGCATTGTTGCGTATAATAAATGCAATTGATTAAACAGGCATCATCTGGCTCGTTGGGTGATTTTTTCGCGTTCACATCGAAACCATTCTTTTCGATCTCCGGTTTCGGTTCCGGCGTGGGTAAGGTCTTTTGTACGATCGGCACCGCCTCTTCTATCTCCTCGGTGTTGTCCTTGGCAGCGTCCGCAGTAGGTTTCGACGGTGGCTTCGTCGATGTTACAGGCGTAATCATGACCTTCTCCAGTCTCGCGTCGTCAAGCACGTCGAAACCCGCTGAGGATGATATCGATGCCTGTGGTGGAGGTGACGAGTCGCCGGACGACATTATCACGCTGCAACATAGATATTCTTTATGTGAATTTAATCTACTTTAAAAATTGACAAAAAGTCTTAAAGTTGAAAAAATCAAATTTAAATTGATTTTCTAAAGTTCTTGAAAA